ATTTTGTATTGTTTGGTACCCCGGGGTACCGCCATGAGGATCAAATGGCGGCTGTTGTTTGCTGTTGTTGAGTGGTTACGTTAGTGACGGTGACGAGATGTTAATTATCTCGCTTGTTATACAGGAGGTCGTGGGTTCGACCTCCACGCCCGTATATTTGGAGTTTGTTCTCCCCGTGGTTGCGTGGATTTTTCTCAGCTTGGTCATCACCGAATGCAAACACCCCCATCATATTAGATTTAGTTTTATATTCGATTTGTATTAATGCCAGCTCGATGAATTAAAAAGTATTCTTCTCGGTTCTTTTGGTAAAGTCACGTAGGTAGAAAAATATACAGGCGTGATCTATTATTTGTCTACCTACGTTACTTTACCGAAATAACCAAATAGTATGGATTCCTGTAGTCACGAAAGCTTGAAATCTAAATTAAAAAGTACCCGTTTGAATGTGTAAAGCCAAATCCGCTTACTCGTGATGGCTGTGAAAAGGCCCTTGGGAGACGTCTCCACATGGCAGTCAGAATGACACGGCCAGTGTCTGCATGGGGTGCCGTGGTGGCGAGATGTTTGGTAAAATAAGAATGGTTTAGTTTAGAATGGGTGAATGATTGAGTGTGTGAGTGCGCGAGTTTGTGAGCGGATAAGTGGATTTGTGAATGTGTATGTGAATGAGTTGGTAAATAAGTTCGTGGGTGAGTTAGTAAATGAGTGAATACCGTGCATGTGAGGAATAGTGGGTGGATGGGTGCGTCAGTAAAGGCGTGAGTGGGTGAATTAGTGTGTGGGTGAATGGTTGATTGGATGGGTGATTGGGTGAGTGATTGAGTGGATGGGTGAGTGGGTGGGTGAGTGGATTAGTGAGTAAGTGGATGAATGAGTGGGTGAAAATGTGAGTGGGTGAATGAGTGGTTGGGTGGAGGGGGTGAATAAATTGGTGTTTGGGTGAGTGATTGAGTGGATGGGTGAGTGGGTGGGTGAGTGAATGAGTCCGTGAGGTAATTAGTGGGTGAGAGAGCGAAATAGTAAGTGGGCGAGTGGGTGAGCGAGCGATTGGGTGAATTAGTGAGCGGGTGTGTGAGCCTGAATTGGTCCTGGGCTTCCCCTAGGTCGACTCAGCCTCAAATGAGTACCTGGTGCGGTGTATAAACACTGCCACTTAGGGAGACAAAGGCGGCCGGGCATGGTGCTGGCCACCAAATCCCCTCGTGGGCCATTCCGGCCTTCATAGGTGCTCACGAACAGAACTTGCCCCAACAGTCTGTACAGGCTATACTGGGGGATCTCTGTTTTTGAGTGAGACACTAATTCCCAGGACAGATAGTGATTGAACCTACGAAGGGTTACATGTTATGACAAATCAGCCACGATTAAATAACCCATATTTGACACAAGTGGGGGGAGGGGGGCCTTTGCAGCCACTACGATTCATAATCGATTGTGTGAATAACGTCACGTGGGAATTTCACCAAAATGTGTGTCCTTAGTAACCCTCAACCCCCCCACACGGCGAAACCAATGAAACTGTCACGCGTAGAAAGCGTTCAACGCGTAAAGAGCGTTCAACGCGCTGTTATTTTAGCATTGTTATTTAAGTGTATCAATTGGACACGAGCGTTTCGCGATTGCTCAATGTGCTAGTTGTGTGCTGTAACAACGCGTGTACACGTGGCCATTTAATTAGATTCGCTGTGTCGGGTGGGTGCGTGTTCTTGACGACACAATATACGGTCAAGTCATTGCGTGGCCTTACCCCAAAACGATTATAATTCGAAGGAGCATTTATTTATTGATTTGCTACTTCGCTTGCCCACCCAATGCATTTACACAGTCACTCTCCCACCTATGCACTCATCCACTCACTAACCCACCTATGCACCCACCCACGCATTACACCACCTATGCACTCACCCACCCATTACACCACCTATGCACTCGCCCACTCCTCCGTTGAGCACGGTTGGCTACGTACGGTGCGAAAGAAGTTCAACATACATTACCCCACCAAAGACTTACTCACTCTGCCACCTATACACTCACCCACTCACTCAACCTATGCACTCACTCACTGACTTTCCCACCTCTACACGTAGATTGCCCTTTTAACCTTCAACAGACTGTCGGGGCAATAGCTGTTCGCGAGCTCCTATTGAGGCTTGCACGGCACATAAAGGAGTGGGTTGGCCAGCACTACGCCGGGCCGCCTTCATCTCCCTAGTGGTGATCTTTTTACACAACGCGCTAGTAACTCAAATTGAGGCTGAATCGACCTAGGGAGGTCCAGGATCGATTTTCGTCACTCACGTGAGAGGGAATCGGACTTGGGTTCGTAGCGCGGTGAGCTAACCACTGCGCCACCACTCACCATGATCACACATACACACGCAAACACAGAGCGGCACGCACACACACATTTGTCCGAGCTAATTTATGTATTTATACATTTCATCGATAATAACTCTAACACATTGTGCTTATTAAGATATTTATATTCATGGTAATTATACTATTATTTGCTACATTGCTTTGTATACAGGGTTGCACAGACACAAACTAAGCACAGCAGAGGGATTAAATCCTTGTGTGATATCTTCTACCCCGTCCGCCACCTCCCCCCAAAAACTCACTCGCGCAAATTCAACATTCCCCTGGCAGGGGCAAGCCAGTCCACAGTACAACTCTGAATGTTTAACTCCCCACAAAAGCGGTACAGCATTCATTTTAGGAACCCCCGGTGGAATCCTGCTGGTGATGATTGGCTGAGTCGACTACCAGCGACCGGGATGTGCACTCGTCACCACTCGCGTCCCGTGACAACACTGCGTCAAGAGAATACATCATTCGGACGATGATCACGTCACCGTCTACAGCGACGATTTCATTAACGACGATGACTACAAAAAAAGAATAGGAATACTTGTTTCTACCTGCGTGGCTTTACCGAAAGAACCAACGAGTATGGCAATAAAGCAGGGGGTGTTGTGATGTTCCAACACTAAATAGACACACCTGTGGCAAGGCACCAAGCCTTCATTAACTACAAGTACTTGTGGCAAAACATGCGGACAGACGTGCTCTGACAATACATGGGCATTGCCTTTGAAACTTCTTTAGGGCCCAGTTTCACTGCCAGTGTTAGACCAGAGAGCACCAACAAGTGGGCAGTAGCTCGGGCTGAGCAGTCACAGCCATGGGACGATGATTGAATCGTCGTCTCTATGGGACCTCTTTGATGCTGGACAATGTCCCACAGAGACGGCCACGGTGCAGCCCCCACTGGTCGCCTCCACTCGAGGCGAGCTCTGCAGGAGGAGGGGATCTTGGGCCACCTCTTCCACGCTACGGCCGGCCGCCTGTGAAGAAGTTGTACCAAAGACAAAGAATCCCCGTATAGCCTTAACATACTGTAGGAGCAAGTGCTGTTAGCGCGCACCTATGGAAGCCGGCACGACACACGAGGACGTCAATGGCCAGCACCACACCCGACCGCCTTTGTCTCTCCAGTGGCGATGTTTATGCAATGCACCAGTTACTAATTTGAGGCTGAGTCGACCTAGGGGAGGCCCAGGACCGGTTCAGATAATCGGGACTGGTGTTGGCCATGAGCAGGAATCGTCGTGTTCGTACACGACGATTCCCACCACCACCACCACCACCACACACAAACCACAACTTGCCGATCGAATTAACCGCCGTGTTGGACCCCATTGATCCGACTGGACGGACACAGGTGGTGGGCAAGTGGGTGAGCAGCGATGCTGGGACAAAGATGGGAAAGGAGGCTTCGACTAATTTGAGTTAATAATGGTTTGAAGACCGCACTCGCATTCACCATCGGGGCATTGCGATAGACCCAACGCAGAAGAGCCCAGGGTTTGATCTCCCATTAAGCTCATGGTCCACCCTAAATTGTATCCGCACAAACCATGACAGATGCGGATACCTGATGCACAAATAGAAAATAAAATACAACTCTCCAGTGCGAAACTGTGGTCATCCAGAGCAGACCGTGCCACGTACAACGACACAATTCCCAGGCCACAAATACGAAGGAAAGATCACACAGCGATACACTCCGCTGCTGCGACTAGCGCGGCTATTTATCTGGCTTCACCACCAGAATGTGACATTGTCGTTGTTACTGTACTCTGCATCTACATCAGCCATACAGCACAGTGGTGGGTGGTGTGGGTGGTTGGTGGTGGTGGGGTGGTTGGTGGTGGTGGTGTGGGTGGTGGTTGTGGGGTGGTGGGTGGGTGGTTGTGGGTGGTGGTGGTGGGGTGGGTGGTGGTTGTGGGGTGGTGGGTGGGTGGTGGTGGTGGGTATTGTCGACCCGGTAACGCAGCCGCCGCGCTCCGCACTCCACCCGCGAGTCGCGACTCTCCGCCACGGGGCCCGCGTAGTGGGCGCGCCACGCAGGGGTCGGCAGACCTGGAACGGCTTCGTGACGCCCTCTCGTGTCCACAAGCATTGGTGGGGCTCTTCACATCGAGGGGTTAAAAAAGAAAACAAATTTCGAAAAACCCCCTTCTTGTTTTGGTTGCCGACCCCTGAGCGAGTGGCACTGCTACGAACCTGGCGGTGACCCGAGTTCTATTCCCGCTCACGGCCACCACCACCACCACCACCACCCACCCCACCACCACCCACCCCACCACCACCCACCCCACCACCACCTCCACCACCCACCCCACCACCACCTCCACCACCCACCCCACCACCACCTCCACCACCCACCCCACCACCACCTCCACCACCCACCCCACCACCACCTCCACCACCCACCCCACCACCACCTCCACCACCCACCCCACCACCACCTCCACCACCCACCCCCACCACCACCACCACCCACCCCCACCACCACCCACCCCACCACCACCCCACCACCACCACCACCCCCTACCCCTCACCCCACCACCACCCACCCCACCACCACCCACCCCACCACCACCACCACCCACCACCCACCCCACCACCACCACCGACGGTGACAACGAATGTGATCTCCCTGGCTCGAACTGCCTTTAAATGAGTCCGTGGTGCTGCGATGTGCAATTAAACAAAGGTGGCCGGGTGTGGTGCCCACCCCCTCGTGATAGGTGCTCGCTTACAGCACTTGCCACGACAGCCTGTTCAGGCTATACGGGGGATCTTTCTCTGTGTCCTCTGACGACTGTCCTATCACGATCACATCACTTGTAAGTGATTCTCGTCTGGTTCCACGTTCGTACAACTGTCACCCCCCCCCCCCTCCCCATATATGTTTAATATGCCTGCGACTTAATTGCGTCATCGTGCTACAATCTCGATCACAAACAGTCCCCGCACTCACTGCCGACTTGGGCGGCAGTGAGTGCACAACAACATTGACGTTCGTGCAATGAAGCCTCACGCGAATTATCGCGTGACAAAGTCGTTTTTGTTCCGATTTCTAATTGCCGTAATAACTTCATTTTGTATTTGCTCTGCTTTTTGACACGCTTGCAAACGAGACTGGTTTAAACAAAAACATGCAACTTGGAATCATGAAACTATTCAGACCCTCGGTGGCCAAAACAGCAGCCAATGTCGTTTGTTTGGCTGCATCGGGCGAGTGGCGGAGAGCTGCTGCGGCGGCTCGGAGATGTTAACTACTTCGCCCGGTATACAGCAGGTCGTGGGGTTGGACCCCGACCCGGATGGCTGCTGTATATTAGCGTGTTCTCCGGCTATTCCCTCCACATTTAGACAAACACGCGTTTAGAGTATCTGGTTGCTTTGCATTTCCACACGGTAAGCCACTTCTCGTTCAGTTACGATTTGTGGCCAGATTGCTTTTGAAAAGAGCAACATAGCTCATTGAGGCTTACCGGGTTAAAACATTGTTTTTATAGTTTCACAGTTCACAACAACACATTCAGGTTAGACCCTAAACGCGAACTAAAAACCAAACATGCACCCGACTGGTGTGTGCTTTAGAAGTTGCGCACGATGCATGCATCGATACAAAAACGTTCACACGGATTGACATGATGCGCCGTCTTTGTGCGTTTACATCGGTGCTCGCGAACACTGGCCCTAGTCTCTCACAAGGCTGCAGGGTTGTAGCGCTGTACAAGTTTGCGATACGAGTTTAATCCAAATATTGTTTCTGTCACTCGCATAGCACCCACACAAACCACCGTGGAATCGTCAACTTTACGATCTCGGTCACATTTTCACGACGGATGCAATCCACATTCGCCTTATCCTTACAGTTAACGGAGAATGGCTCCCCCCACGACAATGATGATATCACGTGACCCACCAAACCCACAATGACCAATAATAAAAAAACGCGCAATCCCTGACAGTTGTTTTAATGTTTATATATTTAGATTTCTTTTCTTTTCTGTATTTGACAATAATATTGTTCTTAGCGTGTGAACAAAACTACCCCGTGCAAGACGATGGTACAGACCCCACGCGATGCCCAATCGGGTCACCAGACTGTCCCATTATATTTTCATCGGGTTGGGGGGGGGGGGCAAAAGGGTTAGTCACTGCATAGCGAATAAAACATCTATACTTCACTTTTTAAATACGATAAACCTTACTCATGAGGAGCAGTGGTGCAATAGTCAGCTCATTACATTATCAACTTGGCGACCCGAGTTCGACTCCTGGCGACGGCTATCATTAGCGAGTGGTGTCTGAAGCGGGACCGACTGGTGTGAAGTATGGCTAAACAACCGCCCCCCCCCCGAAAGTCACTACATGGCGAGGACTTTACAAAGGTTAAGAGCCCTTCAATCTACTGCTGGATGAAGGCTCTCGAAGCTTGTGGTGACCTTGGTGACCGTTTGACCATACGTCACTGCACTGCTCAATGTTGGGCGACCCAAGAAGGGGTGGCGGGGCACGCCGGGAGACCGGTGCAGATGTCACTCGGCCACCGATGTTAGCCGTGGCCGGGAATCGAATTCGGGCTGTCGGGTTTACAACGCAGCGCGTGCCAACCGCAGCGCCACCGCTCACCTCGCCAATGTAGAAATCTGCAACTTGAGAATTTAAATCAAATTGATGAGAAACCTCTCCCCACCCCACCTATTAAAAACAATCGTATATTTATTTGTTTTCTGGACTTCAAAAAATCCACCGTTCAAGTTTAAAAAAGTGCAAAAAGTTTTGCTAAAATACAAACGAAGAAACGGAACAGCAAATACGACAAAGAGATTCTACCGAACTTCTTGCGTAGGTTTCCGCCGCTTGTGCCGCACGGCTCTTCCGTTGTGCTGCTCGGGTCGCGTCGGCGTGCGCGGCTCGGCGCGATGTCCGATGAGACTCTGCGAGCCTGCGCGTCGCCCCTTCTCGTGCGCGGCAGCGCGGTGCTGCGTTTTCTCCGGGTTCTCCGGTTCCCTCCTTCCACGGGAAGCCAAACGGTCAAATGATTCGTGGCCAAGCAGCCGTCCTACATTTTTTTTAAACATAACCACCAAATGGGGTCCGCTCGCTCTCGCGGAGAGAACGATTCGGAGAGAGGACGACTCGGAGGCACCAGGAGGAACCGCAGATGAGCGGAGAGGCAGAAGCAGCCACAGGGGTGAGGAGCTGCCACTACCGACAATTGCCCAAGCTGTGCGGTCCTCTATAAAACGAGATGTTTCCAGCCCATTAATGAGTATTCACACACACGGGAGGAAACTCGAGCACCTGGAGAAACCCCACGCGTATGAGGGGCAACACGATGCCATGCAGATGGAGTCTCAGTCCCCTTGACGATGGGACAGATGGAAATTAGTCCACTCACTGGAACCGCCGTTGCCTGACGAGCCAGGGCCACAGCTTACCCTCGACACGCACGCGTCGAGGGGAGTGTCACGGCACGTGTGCGTGTGTGTGTGTGCGTGTGTGTGTGCGTGTGTGTGTGCGTGTGTGCGCGTGCGTGTGTGTGCGTGCGGTGATCCACCAACCCTCGGCTGGCGACTCCACACCGCGGGATCAACACAGGAAGCTACCACGAGTGAGTGTTGAGACGCGACGAGGCTGTGCCTGGGTCAACAAAGGGCACGCTTTAAGCATTCGGACTGCTATCGTTTTGAACCGACACTCTTTCGTGTTTGTGCGTTTGCGGCTGGGGGGTATGGTGCGAAACATCAGACATTGCGCCCAACCACACGTGCGCGGTGCAGCCAGAAAGAAACAATCAGGCGCTAAATGAACGCGATCATGGGGCGCTAAAATAAGCAACTGAATAAATGGGGCCGCTCCACGCTTCCCGAGGCGAGCGACGGCGGCGCGGCCCGAAGGCGGCTTTCTCGCCGCTCGTGCCACCGCAGGTTCACGCGGTTCGACGCCGGCAGGTCGCCCCGATCACTACCACGGTGGTGGCGTGGCAGCCGTGCCAGTAAAGGAAACTACACAACGCCACGCGACACGCCGTCCGCTTCACTCGCACGGTCGACGTCACACAGACCCCCCCCCCCCGCCCCATTGTGATGTTGTTCGCAAGACCGAGGCCAGATTTGTCAATAATAAATTGCGCGGAAACATTTACTCAATTGGGATGACACACACACAGCAGCAGCAATCATCTCTCCGCACTCCCCGACTGGCAGACGAATGCCCGGGGAAAGCTGCCACTGGGGGGTGTCCTGGGATAGACCACATCAGCAGCAGCAGCAGCAGCAGCGATCTTCATCCTCGTCTCACTGCGAAAGAAACCTGGCAAGACACCTCTTAAGAAAAGGGTCGTGGAGCTTTCCTGGCTAAACGATTGAAATAATAAATAACAGGGACAAATCCCTCCATGCGTAGGGTATTGCTTTTAGAGTAAAACTCGCCATCGGGCGAGCGACAACATCTGCACGTCGCGAAGACCAAACTTACACAGACTTGGCGAGAGGGTAAAGGGGCAGCCCTGCAACTGCTTGGCTCACGCCACCAGTGGGGGAAGGCGCCTTCGCCAAGGAGAGAGAGAGTGCTTCCTCTAATAGAGCAACGTTTGGCCTACTCTTCCAAGCTGGCCAGACGTTTCGGGAAAAATAGAGTACCCACACTTTACCCCACCATACGCGACATGCGTTTGTAGAGCCGGGTGAACAGCTAGAGGCGGTTGCATGGGGGAAAGAGGATTTGAGAAACTCGCGTTGACGGAGTCGAACCTGCGCCCTCTGGGTTGGACATTCCAGTTGTGCCGATAACCGATAACCGATCCTCCGCCGCTGTAACGGCAGCCTCGCCCTTAAGAAACAAAAACTAAATACCCCCAAAATGTAAAATTTTAACATTTAAAACACGCGCACGTGATCGAACGCACAGCGGTTGTGGGTAACGTTGCTGACGTAAAAAAAGTAGTTTGTTAAAATCTGTATAAAATAGCAACAATAATAAGTAAAAATGTAAATAAAGGAAAAGGAAATTTTGCATAAAAACTCCGGTTGGACCCGGTTAACCCCGTGTAGCACGCGGGCCGTGACGTGCACGCTTGCGAGGGCTTCCGTGACCGCCACATGAGCTTCACATGAGCTTCACATGAGCAGGCATCTCCTCCGCACGTGCTCCTTGAGGCTCCTCCTAGAGTCCTTGGTGCCTTTCTTTCCGTCCACCTGAAAACGTCACACAACAGACAAAGATCCCCCGTGTAGCCTTGATTGCTGTTCGTCAGGAGCAGCGCCGACGAACGGTTTTTTGTGTTTCCTGTTCAGTTTGTTGTCCTTCCCTGTACCTCCGATTAGCACGGTATGGCACGTGATGGGGGGAGGGGGGGTGGACAGCCCACGCCCACCCGGCCGCCTTTGTCTCCCCAGTGGCGGTGTTCGCAAGGGGTTGGGGCCTAAAGAGCAGGCCTCGGCACCCATCCAATTGAACGCAACCCTTAATACATTTGAAGAGCCATCCACAAACTGCTGTTTGACATTTTTTGTAAAGCAAATTAATGAACCCAATACTGTGGCATGTCAAACATTCTAAAAGCAAAACTTCACGTCGAGTTCCTGATGCACTGTACCACTGAGCACCGGTACAGTGCCTCCCCCCCGCCCTTCCCACCCACCTCGCACACGCAGCTAAACGCTCATTCATCGGCCCGTAAAACCCTTGTATATACAGGACCGCAGAGCTTGGGGAGTGCGGGAATTTGTCACGGGCTCATCGCCGCGTGACTGCTGCTGCTGCTGCCGCCTTCCTGCTCGTCTGCAGTTTCACCCTCCTGGCGCTTGTGTCGAGTCGTCCCCTCTCCCTCCCTTTCTATCTGTCTCTTTCTCTACGAGAGCGAGCGAGTCGGTTACAACGAGCCGTCGTCGCAGTTATCATCGTCGTTAGTTGCACGGTGCTACGAAGAAGCCAGCGTGACCCGAATTCGACGCCTGGACACGGCCGAGCACGACGATCGTGCCGAGCGAAGCACAGCGTGCATTCCGAGGCGATGGTATCAGCGCTGCCCTCGTGTGGGGGTTGAGAAGTTATTCTCGGATGGCACAGGGCGGATCAGCCCTGACCCAGCACGAACCTCCCCCAACCGAACGCAATTACATTGCAGGCGCAGCCCTTCAACCGAGGTGCTCGTGACCCTGCTGCTGGAAGTGCCTCGCGCTGGACGACAGCTCAAGCGAGCGGCGTCCTTCACTGCAAGGCCCGTGGGCCACTGGCGGCCCCTGGTGGCCTTTAGTGTCAAATCCTGACGGCTTCAAATGTGCGGCGACCCTCACACCGATGTCTTATTGACAAAAGTGGCCTCCCCTCTGAAAATCTGTGAAGAACACTGCTCTAGAGGGCGTTTTGGCCTCCTCTTATACACCGGTCAAATGGCTTAGACGAGGTGGTGGGGGGGGCGGGAGTACCCACACTTTAACCCACCACACGCGACCTGCCTATCGTGCCACCGTACCCCCATTTACACCGCTTGGTGGACAGGGGTGGGGGGCCGCCCGGACCACGCAACGATCGCGCCGCGGATGCGTTGCTCTCGCTCTCGTCTAGACCGCCAACTCGTAGACCGACGAGACCAGCCCGAGAGCATTGTACGCATGACGTGGCGATCACATGGCGCGCATGCAAGTCGCGTGGTGGCAGCCGTCCGACCTGCCGCGTGCGAGCAGTGGGACTCGCGGGGGTTCCGACGGCCGGTGGTGAAGATGTGACGGTGATGACGATGGAAATGACGGCGATGACGATCACGACGATAAGGATGGTGGCGACGGTGACTACGAAGGCGACGATGGTAATGGTGACGAAAGCGATGACGATTACGATGGCGATGACAACGGTAATGACGATCGTGGCGACGACGGTAACCATGCCGACGGCGATGACGGCGATGGCGATGACGGCCTCCCGCGTGGGGGCACGAACATCAAGCGTGCACCCTCCCCTCCTCGCTCGCCTGCAGGCTCATGTGCCGCCGCTTCTCGAGCGTGAGCAGCTCTTGGAAGGCCTCGGAGACATTGTAGTCCATCTTGGCCGACGTCTCCGTGAAGGCGCAGCGCCACGCCCTGGCCTGCGTCTCGCCCTCGCCGGCTGCCACCTCGCGCGCCGTCTCGTCGCACTTGTTGGCCACGAGCATCATGGGGACGGCCGACACGTCGCCTGGGAGACCACGGGAGATGCAGGGACGGGAGACGAGGGGAGATGAGACGAGGGGAGGGGCCAGGGGAGGGGCGAGGGTTTGTGGTGACGAGGTCGCGCCCCGCCGAGTCGCGCCGCACCTTTGATCTGCGCGATGACCTCGTAGATGGGCCGCAGCTCCTCGAGGCTCTGGCGGCTCGTCACCGCGTAGACGAGCAGGAAGGCGTGGCCGCGCGAGATCGCCAGCCGCTGCATGGCGGGGAACTGGTGCGAGCCCGTGGTGTCGGTGATCTGCAGCGTGCACACGCTCTTGTCGCAGCTGATCACCTGCGTGATGCACAGAGAGACATATACACGGAGATACGCAGGCATAGAGAAACACAGAGAGATGGATACACACACAGATAGAACAATTTCCTCAGATATACAGTATCCAGCGATATACAAACTGCTTTTTCACTGGCACATGCGAGTCGAGCCAACGTGGGTCCTCGCGGCAGGCGCCGTTTTCCATTGGCAGAGTCGGAAGCAAACCGTGCTACACCGAGCCTCGCAACACTGGCCGAGGGGCCAAGCAGGCCACGGTCGGGGCTAATGCCGCGACCACGGCCTGCGACATAGATTGGTACACCGTGAGGAGGAAGCGGCGCCACCACGGCATCCCGCATTTGCTCACCGCGCGCGACATCCCCGACGGGGCGTGGCGGTGGAAAGACTGACCCTGGGGCCCTCGGGGCTGTGCCGAGACAGCCCCGGCAAGGCCCCGGCAAGGCCCCGGGGGGTCCACACGGTGGAAAGGCTTCACGCCTCCGATGAGCACGTTTGGCTACGTACGGTGAGAAAGAAGTTTAACATACATACATATGAACAAAAGTGGAGTTGACGAGGTGGGGGGGGCTCACCTGACGGTAGGTGTCCTCCACGGTGGGCACGTAGGCCTCGCGGAACGTGCCGCGCACGAAGCGCAGCACGAGGGAGCTCTTGCCCACGCCGCCCGCGCCGAACACCACCACGTGGTAGTCGCTGCTCGGCTCCGGCATGGCGGCCGCTCCCTCCCTCTCTCTCCCTGCCGCTCTCCCTTTCTCTCGCACACACGTGCTCCCTCCCTCCCCCTCTCTCTCTCCGTGTGTCTCTCTATCCCTGTGCGTGCCTCTCTCAGTCTCTCGGTGTTTGTCTTAGTGACGCCGTCTCCGTGTATCCCTCTTCCTGTGTTTCACTCCTTTCCGTGTATCTATATTTCCCTGCGTCTCTCACTCAGTGTCTCTCTCTCCTCAGTCTCTCCCTCCCTCAGTGTCTCTCTAGCCCCAGTGTCTCTCTCTCCCCAGTCTCTCTCTCTCCCCAGTGTCTCTCTCTCCCCAGTGTCTCTCTCTCCCCAGTGTCTCTCTCTCCCCAGTGTCTCTCTCTCTCCTCAGTGTCTCTCTCTCTCTCCCCAGTGTCTCTCTCCCCAGTGTCTCTCTCTACCCACAACTGAGTGACTCACTCTTAAGAAGTATTATGTCATTTTGCTTACAGACACCAAGTAGAACTGCTATATGGAGCCCTGTAATGTTGCTCAATTGGATGATTCATCTGCACGCCTCCATCTGCAACACACGAAGACAGATACCATCGCATTAGTCTTTTGTGAATTCGGTAAAACATATATATTAGCTAAACTCTAGTTTGTGTCGTCTTCTGAACGTATGATTAGTTTGAGTCCATCCGCCTCTCAGCTTTCTAGACCAATAATTACCCAGCGGAATTGTGTAGGCGAGCAAACTCACAACTGGGTTGACCCTTCTGGGTCTTCTCAGCATAGCCTGAGCAGCTTGTCCAACTATACAGGAGTGTACCTTGCTGGGTCGCCAGCTATTATTGGCAAGAGAACTCCCGGTTAAAACGTGGGGCCCAGGACTTTCAATATAGCGGCCAGGAAAACCATATTGAGTATGTGGAATAATCGTGAACCACCCCCACCCTCCCACACTCAATGGCTGAATTCATGAGGCCCAATCTCAGCCTTGGAGCATCTTAGCTATGAGCTCAGAGACAAGAAGAGTACACATGAGCATGGGGTACATTCCTGAACCTTATGACGGGTCTTACACACCTGAACCCAGAAAGGTAACGACCGGCTAAAACCCCCCTGCAACCCCCCTCCTGCCTCCCTCGCCCCCTACTCCTCTCCCCTCTCCTGCTCTGATGAGTCCGGCGTGCCTCATAGCGTCGCTGCCTCTGGAACTGCCGCCCGGAACGTGAGAATGTTGATCGATACTCGTCAACGTATGATGTGAGGGAGGATGTGGAATACAAATAGTTGATCTGCATAAAGACCTGAATCTGTACATCTCGACAAGGTAGAAAGCTGACATTTGGAACATAGGTAGCTTTTTGGACACAAACAGGAAAAATCTGAAAATCTGATATTTTTCATTTTAAAACCCCCAAATCTCGATTTTAAGTGCTCCATAACCACGTTTGTGCGTGTCATGCAGAAACCGTTAAAAATATAGGATTGCGTTATTTTTAATTTGATAGAGCGTTAAACAGCAAATACAATTAAAGCGAGAATCATTGTTCTATCTTTGATTGTTTTTGAGTTATTTCAGATTAAAGCGATTTTGAACGAAAAAAGTACACATTTTATGATGTTGAAATCTGAATAATTCGAAAACGGTAAAAGAAAGGACTTTCCCATCAGAGTATTACGTTAATAAATGTTTGTTCCTTCTAATAAAAAAAGACCGGAATCTTTAAATTCAGCGGTTCCCGATGGGTATGTCTTTAAATATACGAACCTGAATCAAGTCGTCAATGTGTTTTTGTTTGCGGAAAAATACTAATTTTATGAGGAATTGTTTGTGTCTGATCATAAATACAAATTGTAAAAAATAATCCTATCTGGTTAATTATTATGGAAAACGTTTGCCTGGCGAAGAGAGGCTTCATGAACTCGCGTGTATATATAGAAACCATCGGCAACCGTGACGTGTTTATCAATAACGGCACTGTATGTACAGTATGTTGAACTTCCTTCGCACCGTGCTCATCGGAGGTAAAGGCACCTCTCCGCGTTACCACACAGGGAAGAATATGTACAGTAAACTAAAACTAAACGAATTTTTTATTTGACCAGGTAAGGCGCCCTGAGCCATTTCGCTCTTCAGAAGCGACCTGGCCACAGAAGAACGCAGTGGGGCTTATCACGTGGACATTTATAGCAGCCAAATACTCGTAACGCATGTTTCTAAATGCGGAGGGAAACCCCGCAGGACACGGAGAAAAATCCATGCAAACACAGGGAGAGAGACACGCAAACTCCAAATATACAGCAGGCGTCAGGGTCGGGTTCGAACCCACGACCTCCTGTATACCTTGCAAAGCATTTAACATTTCGCCACCATGGCGCCCAGTAATATATCGTCCGTTCTATAGGATTCGGGGGGGTGGGGGTGCGTCAAGCGTACGTACACAGGTGGGGTAAAAAGTCCGCGTGCGTACAGGGAGGGGGCGAGGGGTCAATTTGAGACAGATTTGTGCGTGCCGACTCAATGGATGGCCCCGAATCGGAGTTCGCGGCGCGCGCCAACTGCTGCACCACCGCTCGCCTCGCCCGTTCACGTGCGGGGTGGAGCTCAGCGGTGTGAACCGCATGGATCCCACAGCCCTCACACCCCCCCCACAACCCCCCCCCCCACAGCCCTCACACCCCCCCCACAGCCCCCACACACCCCCCCACAGCCCCCTCCCCCCCCCACCACCTCATCGGTGCTGCTACTCACAGCTCACAGCTCTTAGCCCAACAATCTGTTGAGGCAAGACGGGGGGGGGGGATATTTGTCTTGCCCTGGCCCCATCATCATGGCCCATGCCCCCAACCTTAATAGGTGCTCGCCAACAACGCTTTGGTAAGGTTAAGGCTAAACTGGCTGTCTTTTGTCCTCTGTATGTGTGTGTCACGGTGTTTGTGTCGAGTATGTGGGTAACAGTAGCATAGCGGTTCGCAAGCTGCGAGCCGAGTTCAATTCCCGGTCAAGGCCACCAACACCCGTGACGATTATCTCAATCGGTTATATGCCTCCCCTAAGTCGACTCAGCCTCAAATGAGTACCTGGGGTAGTGTGTAAACATCACCACTGGGGAAACAAAGGCGGCCGGGCGTGGTGTTGGCCACCCACCTCCTCGTATACCATGCCGGCCTTCGTAGGTGCTCACTAACAGCACTTGCCCCAACAGTCTGCTCGGGCTATACGGGGGCTCTTTCTATTGAGTCTGGGCGCAGGCTGCTATGGCAATGCGCGCATTCACAGCAAGGCACGGCAGATGTGGCTGCATTCACAATAGCCGCATTTTACTCGCACACCTATTTATGTGAATAGAGCAACGGGGCGAGCGCTATTGTTCACGAGCACCTTTTAAGGTGGTGGGTGGGGGGGATGGGCCATGATGGGCTGGTGGGGCCAGGGCAAGACAATACAAAGATCCCCCCCCCCCCCGCCTCAGAGGGGGGTGGGTGGCAAGAACCGCGACCGGCAGAATTTGTCTCCTCAGTGGCGATGTTTACACACTGTACCAGGCACTCATTTGAGGCTCAGTCGACCTAGGGGAGGCCCAGGACCGGTTCAGATAATCGTCACGAATGTTGGTGGCCATGAGCGGGAATCAAACTCGGGTGGTCGGATCCGTTGTGCGGCGTGCGAACCGCGACACTACCGCTCCCCACTCTGTCTCGACACGCACAAAGATCCCCCCCGCCGCCGCCTCGCCTTGAACAGACTCTTGGGGCAAGCGCTGTTCGTGAGCACTTACGGCACACGCGTTCACACATCCGCACGAGCGTACCATCACCCTGGCACTTTCCAGTGCCACCACTGACTGTGCACATGAATGGAAAATCATCATCATCAGCAGCCAGCCCCTCAGGACCTACGCTTGGGTCAGCTCAGCCTGAAATAGCTCCTATGCGTTGGCGTGTTGCGTATGGACGCGAGTTGGCCATTATAGGTGTTTGCAAACAGGGGGTCGAATGGGATCCTTTGTGCGAGCGAGCAATTATTGTGAGACAGTCCGATTGACTTTTGGCCATCGAACAAGGACGGCCACTGTATCGCGCACTTTGAGATGAGCTTCTGCGGCCGTCTGGAACGCTCTTCTTGACGAGATTAGGAAGCCACTGGAGCTACGCATTTTTACATCATCTCGATTGAAAACTCGTGTCTTTAGAACTGCTTGTGTTTTGGTCTGTTGTCCTTACTCTCGCACCTCCGATTAGCACGGCTGGTTACATACGGTGCGAAAGTTCAACATGAAATAATAATAATGATGATGTCAACTCGCAAAGTCGTGCTGCCACGCAGTACTCGCCCGCTCGTGAAGAGAGGACGGCAACTCGGGCACCAGGAGGAGGAACCACAGACGAGTGGGGAAGGCAGAAGCAGCAGCAGCCACGCGGCGAGGGAGCTTGCGCTACTAACAATTGCCCCCCAAGCTCTGCAGTTCTCAAGATAGTAAGATGTTGCTAGTCAACTAAGGAGAGACCCCCATGTGTGCGGGGAGGGGGCACACCATCCCATAGAGAGGGGACAGGTGGAGTCCACGTTCGCTCTACGCCCTTCCCCTGGCAAGCCAGGGTAGAAGTTGGGCAATCTTAATTTGAAGCTTTCGTGACTGCAGGAATCCATACTCTTTGGTTCTTTCGGTAAAGTCACGTGGGTAGAAAATAAAATAAATCACGACGTTTCGGGCGCAACACAAGCGCCCGTCTTGCTTTCCCACCTGATGACGGACGCTTGTGTTGCGCCCGAAACGTCGTGATTTATTTTATTTTATAGCCACGTGACTTAACCGAAAGAACCAAAGAGTATAGAAGTTGGGCACTTGTTGGTAACGTGCCAGCGAGCCGCGTGGCTGCTACCGCTGCCTTCAGGAAGCTCGTCCGTGGTTCCTCCTCCTGGCGTCTCTGGGTTGCTCTTTGGCTCTCTTAAAGAGCGAATGTATGTCTGTTGACCTTCTTTTGCATCGTACGTAGAAAATTGGGCTAATCGGAGGTGCGGGGGAAGGATAAACACATAAAAGTAGTTTGGCGACGGCGGTGTAGCATTATGAGTTGACATTATTTTACGGTACGATATAATCCATGTGCAGCGGTGAGGTGGATGGTACCAGCACTGGATCATGAGTTGGATGCCTTTATCCAGCAGTGGATAGACAACAGCTGCTGCCGATGGTGGTGGGTCCGCTATTGGACGCCGCCCAGTCCGTGGCCCGGAACGTGCAACGACTCAACAAATCGCACCTCTGATTAGCACGGTTGGCTACGTAGAGTGCGAGCAAAGTTCAATATATAAACATACAAATATCATAGTGCACTGGACGTGAAAATGAAATCCAAATGTGTTCCCAACGATAACGATGACAACAAGTCGAGAAGATGGTGAAGTTGAATCAATGTGTAGTGCGGTAAAATGCGCGGTGCGCACTGTTGGCCGAGGGCAACCGAGGGCAGGCAGGTGCGCAACGTGAGGTTGCACGAGCAAACCGCCACCTCATGAAGGGCAGAATCGGATGCGGACAGGGTCGGCCCGAGGTTGCACACCGACACCCG